TGCAAGCAGTAACTAAATAAAAACTCATTTTAACTTTGCCTGGTTTGAAAATAATGCTTTTTTAAGAAGCTAAAACTTCCTGTTAGTTCTAAAACCCCAAGACCGTGATTTGAGGGCGTTTCTATTTCCGAATGTATTTTGTAGGTTTTTCTGTGATAGAAAGGGAAGCCTGGGCAGTGAGATTGCAATTTGTATCTATAAGCAGTGTTTTGGGTACGTTCTAAGTGGTTGCAAAACTTTATACCCCAAATTTGGTCATTCCATAAGCAAGCACTGGGTTTTGTGCATCAGAGAGGCAGCCGTTGATCACAGACCTTGCAGTAGCCTTTCTCCGTGATACACGGAATTGTTAGGCACACTTAGAAGTTCATGTAAGAAAAAAGTCCTGGAGCGTCTTTGCAATATTAGACTGTCAAAATTTGTCTTAACTGGCTTTATGTCCACTGACTAATAAAAGAAATGTTACATTGGTATTCATATCAGATGTGATAGATCTGAATCCAGACTATTAGTATCCAATTTTCTTTTTACTTTGTACCAAGTTCTTTATTTCGCCACTTGACTAAAAAATTGTTAAACATTAACAGCTGAGTGTGCAGAGGCTTCTTAAACTGCAACATTTCAAAAAGTGAGACAGTTGCACTAAAAATTGAAAACATACTTTTCAGCATATGAAAATTAAGGAGAAATTTTCCATGGGGGGAGGGGCTTCAGAGGGCTAAAGGGGGGGAAACAATTCAGTGTAGTTTTGCATAGTTCTCCAATGAAATATTTTTTAAGCATATTGTAATGAAACTGGACTGCAAAACAAATCTAAACAGCATGTCTTGGCGCACAGAAAAAAGAAGTAATTGATTTAGATGTGGAAAGTTGTATTACTCGTGGTGAGATAACATGAGTTGTCTGGAGTTGTTATGAGATTACAGAGAAGAGGTATTTATTACATGGGTTGATGAAAATCAGGCTTTTGGATAGAATCCAGTGTCCAAAATACTTTGGATTTGGTCCAAAATCCGAATACTTTCTAACCCAATCCAAAGTACTTCACTTTGAATACTTTGGTGGAGAAGGCGAAAGTGGTACATCAAAAGGGACGGGATTTTTCTGCCATCGAGTTGGAAGATTCTGGACTGGGAAGAAATGTAAAGCTTTGGGTAGTCAAATGGATGCTGTGTGTGTCAGAGCCAGCCACGGTCAGGCTGGTCCCTCTTGGGAGTTCAGTGTCTTTTTTCAATCACAGAGCAGTTTGCCAAACCTAATGGAGCGGTGCCGTTGTCCCCCTCAGTTGTCCCTTTAAACTTGCAGCTTCTCGTCTAGGCTGCCTTTATTGTATAAAATGTATTATAAAACCAGCCTGTGCTAGCGGTAGGGTGAAAAAAAGCCAGACCCAGCCCGGTTTAAGTGACTCTCATCCTCTTTTTCTCTGCTGTCTTCCTTAGCTCCATTTTCTTTGGCTGATAACTGGTTCTTGGGGAAATGCAAAGCGTGTCCTCTGTTGAACCAGGTTGGAGAGGTTTAACTCTTCTTGCAGACACCTGTACTAATTTTTTTTTTCCTATGGTTTTAGGCAGTTAAATAGAATACTGACTCTGCACGTGCAGTTTAGTGAAGGCTTCCCGTACCAAAACATTGATGGCAACCTCTTACTTTTGCCATTCATACCCGATAGAAATGCGCAACGGTTACACTGTGTACCGGGTATTTTATTGCCTGCAGTTTGTGGAAACGTGCACAGAACTGTGTTGGGATTTAGTGCAAAAATCTCACTTCCGTGAGCGTTTTCCTATAAACACATAAAACATGGCTAGTTACACACTGATCAGCCGTGTACTAAGCAGCTTTCCAGGAGCCTTAGCCCTCTTTTGTGTAATTTGTTGCACACAGGCACGTCGGTGTGTCCTCGCAGACCCCAACTTGCAGACGAGCCCAGTAAATTATGAGATAAAAGCTCAAACTTAGTGATGTGAATAGCATTGTTCACTGATTTCTGCTTGGGGTGAGTGTGGTGGTTGAAGTGTTTTTGTACGTGGGGTGGAATGGAAAATGGATCATCATACCTGTGCTCTGATTAATTTTTATTTTTTACATCACTCAGATCCTTGTGTTAGTTTACACTTCTTTAGTCTCTAGTTTCTCAAGCAAAAGTCATACAAACAATAAACTTTGACCGAAGGCATACAACTGAAGCAGCCATTTTATTCCAATTCACTGTACTGAGTAAAAGTATTGAAGTATTTTCCACAGATGAAGCAGCTAAGTGAATTCCTTTGCCCCTTTTAGTACTATTTCAAGCTATGTGCAGTACAGAAAAACGGTTTATCTGATTAGATGATGATAAGCATTACGGTGGTGATGGAACGGGATGCTAGCTGAGGCAGAGCATTGCAGAACCAGTAGAAATATAAGGTTACTTCAAAGTGTCTCTTGCTGCTTGTGCAAAAAAGGAATTGATGGCTATTATTTTCTCGTAATGGATCCAGTGCAATTGCCCTAAATAGCAACGTGAGCCACAGCAAGCCTGGGCTAACAGATGAGCGACCTTCTCTGCGCTATGCGCTTCCAGTATTTTAAATATGTATTTTCTGACTCTGATTTTACTGTATTACAGAAAGTTAATTCTCATTAAAAATAATAGGGGAATTATTTACCTATTTTAGTCTTACATGGGACCTGTAATAAAAATGCCAACGCAGCATTCAGCAATAACACTGAAACTTGAAGGTAAATTGTGCCTTGGTTTTGATGAAACGTCATCTGCTACCTTCTCAATCAGGATAAAACCAATCAAACGCCGAAACTTCTAAACTGAAAACCTGAGAGAGTCTTGAACTGTTGCCAAGTGCACTCCAAATCCTATTTCTATGTACCAGATTTAGAGATTAAAGGATAGATTGTTTTCATGTGAGAGATGGAGAGGTGTCTGATGTGACGTTCACGCTAACCTTCGCTGGCTGGGGCTCGGTCACCTCTCCACTGTCAGTGAGCAGGATCTCATCATAGGCTCCTCACCCCTTCCCCAATTTTGGCCAGCCAGGGATTACATCCTATTGGAATGCTCCAGAGTATAGGAAAGTTGAAACAGATCCCTGCAGAATGGTGCCAGGCTATTCTAGAAGGCTTTGTCCTGCAGAAAATCGCCCTCTTTATTCTGAAAAATCACACTCTACTCTTCAGATTTGAGCACCTTAGTCAAGGGGGTACGGCCGGCCGGCTCCTTTCCAGTCCACATCCTTCTTGTAAATACCATGGCTATTTTCTTTCTTTATGTAGCATTCTGAACTTTACATTTATACGTAGCACATCTAAAGAGAATGTACTGCGTAAGGGTACTTAAGGGAGTATTTTCGAGGACTATATTTATGCCTCTGTAGTCTTCCTTTAGTGGTCTTGAAGGAAGGAGCTGTTGTTCCTGTTAAATACAGATGGCATGTGGTGTTGGTACTGTTGTTGTAGCAATGTTGTAGGATCCTAAGACTTTATGTTCCATTACTGTCTCAAAAAACCTTTTCTTATTAAAATCAGTCAGAGCTATAGTAACATTATCTATGTTTTAAAGTGTTAGCATAACATTAGTATTAGGAATAAGACAGAATTGACACACGATTCCAAATAAAACCTTCGTTAGTACAGTAGCGTCGTTAGTACAAGAGTCATTGGTGCCATCTTACATTTGAGTTCTAGGATTGTTGTTTTTTCTGACATACTTACTATTTTAATCGCATATTCCGTGTTTGTCTCACGTGAATAAAACGTCCAATCTCAATGAGTTAAGTCTCACCTGGTCAACTTAAAAAACTGTTCTGGGGGAATAACCCAGTTATTCTGAACTTCTTTTGTGAAGATTTGTTCATCAGTATAATCGTATGGGGGGAAACTATTACTTACGATGTTCAAATTGTTTCATAGGTATTCTGAGAGCAGTGCACTGGTGCTGGCTTTTCCCTTTTTATTACACAATTTTCTTGTAAGAAATGATTATTTTAATTTAGTCTAAGTGCAGGGTTTTTCCATTTTTATGGATATTATCAACCCTAGAAGCAGCTTCCTTCACATTACATTCATTCAGTTTCATAAACAATTTTTAAAGGGCATTAATTAGTCATCTGTTGATAATTCTGAATAGAAGCATGTGTGAAACTATTCAGTTAAAAGATACATCCCCTAGTTCACCCAAACTGTACATTAACTGTTTAATAACAGTTGCACTCTCGTAGCTTTTAAGACGTAGCTCCGTTGCATCCGCATATAAATAGAATATGCTAGCGGGATTATATTTACCCTAAGCCTTATTTTGATGGTTCCATTGACATTTAAAATTTTGATTCTAAGCTTTTTAAATGGATGCAGCTGTATACATGTTTATGAGTTACTGAACTGGGCTGAAAGACTTCAGAAAATGGCTCATGTGTTTTCTATATCTGTATTTTTCAGGCTGTTTTATTGGAGCCAGGGAGTCACGAAAGAAACTCAAGAAGACAACTTGGATAATGAACGGAAGATAAAAAGAAAACAAAAAGAATGTGGCATATAAAGGGTATAATACCTGGAGGTATTAGATCTGACTCATATTTATAAAAATGAGACGAGCTTTCACAAAATACAAGTTATCTTAGACAGTCATCAAGCTTGGAGCCATGCTGTTGAACTAGAAATTCTCCTTTACCCCATTCTCCTTTCTGACAGGTAACAAAGGATTGGTGAATTATGATTTTCCCAAGTTGGAAGCACTAATTTTTATCTATATAGTTCATCCTTATGAATATATAAGGAGTTAAACATTGCATATTTAATGTGGATTATAATGGGAAACTGACTCATTAACAAAAATGGCCACTTTTAAGGACTTGGTTTCAAACTGAGCTGGAGCCTCCCAATGCACTTTGTACAATTTGGGGAAAAGTGTACTGAATGGCCTTCTTTGGGAGGCCATGATGACATGTAGTAAAAGGATATCATCTTACTGTTGATATCTTTGAAGACTCATAAACAGAAACAGAAAAATGAATGGTGGAAAGGAGTGTGACGGAGGGGACACGGATGGAGGGCCACCAGCAGTGCAAGTTCCCGTTGGTTGGCAGCGACGGGTGGACCAAAGTGGAGTGCTCTATATCAGGTAAGGTTATCTGAGGCGGTTACCGGCTTTGTTTTCGTTGTAGTCTTGCCAGAACGTCTGGTAAATCAGTGACTCATCTTTTGTACTCAAAAACTTGAAGGGCTTGTTCTTTTGGAAGTGCAAGATCATTTTTTCTGCTGGTATTAGTGGAGTCCACTTATGTCAGTTGTGCCATTTGCATGCCCTTAATGTACTCTCAAATCTAATATTGCTTGGTCTTGAAAATTTGATAATCCTTACTATACGTTTTGCTTTGGGCATGAATAGTTCTTTATCACTTATTATTGTGATACGGATTTTAAAGCTGAGCAGTAGCAGATTTAACCTTATTTAATATCTTTATTACTCAAACCTTTTACAATTAAGCTAAGCAGGGGTTCAGTTATATGCCACACCTGAGATGATGAGAAATCTCTGCTGTCTTTTGCCTCCTCCCAGGTGCGTAGGCATTGCCTTTTCCTTGCACCAACACGGGTTTTTTATAAGAGCCTTTGCTGGTCGAGTTCAAAGCAGCGCTCAGGCATGCCAACAGTTCATGGCAGGCAGGGTAGAGTGGGACTTTCTTCTTCTGTCAGCAACAAGTCTTCAGCCCAGTTCCTGCAGTGCCGTGCAACTTTATCCTGACATTCTGTAGCTCTTCTTCCCTAAGTCTTTTCTGGGTTTATGTTCCAGATCTCCATTATACTTTCGTGTTTTACCTACTGTCTTTTGAAAAGAAATTTAAGTGGTGGAACTACTTAGTAGCTGCAGAAAACATCAGGTTTTGCATGCCCCACAAAGGTTCTGCGTTCAGTATCACTGACGTTCTCCAGCAGGATTTAATTCCTCAGAGTCCTCGCTTTTCTCATGTAGAAAAAACAGGAACACAAGCCTAAACCCAAACTTTTAGGTATTTTATTTTTGTACTTTGTTAGCTTATTGGATTTTTTTGCTTCACCCTGGAACAGTCACAAAGAAATGTATTGAAATTACTACTAAATGAGTGCTTTCAGACAAACAGACTAGGAATTAAATGTTATTGGAAAAAAGAGCAAAGTTAGCTTTAAAAAAATATGGGTGCATCAGTTTTAACATCACAGAAGTCTAAATGATTATCAGTCTGTTATTTGCTTAATCTTATTCTGCTGCTCTGTGATTAAAATAACCACTTCTTCACAACATTTTATGTATTACCAATACAAAATTCTTTAATGAGTCAAAGCATACTCCAATTTTACACTAAACTACCATAAAAGATCAAATGCATTCCAGGATTTCTTGTTTGTATTCTCAATTAGCAGAATCAAACAAAATCCATGTTAGTGACACGCATGTCAAAGATAAATCGCTTTCCCCTTGTATTTCTCATTACAGCTATAATTTACTGGGCCTCTGCCTTAGTTAAAAATCAATGAGAAAGAAAAAGTTGGGGGTTGTTGGGGTTTTTTTCTTGTCATCTCTATATCCAGGCATCAGAGCATGTAATGCTTCGGTATTTTATATATACCTGATGATCTTACCTGCTTTTGAGTTTCATTTTATACGGCTGTAAGAAGCAGGCCACGAAGCTGGTGCTGCTTCTTCAAGTATGTGTCTTTCATGTTTATAAACGAGTAAATGTTGGCATAATTCTGACAGTTATTTGCTTTTCTGTCCTCTTTTTATATATGTTCTCTTTGTTCAGGAGGACTTTCTTAATATTTCCGTTCTGAATTGCTTTACGCAAAACACTTTTTATTCTAGTTGACCCTATTAATCAAGTTTACCTGTTGCCTTTTTCAGCTTGGGGAGGCTTGTATTATTTCTGCCCTCTTCCCAAGTTTTGCCCATGTATTTTTTTTCTCTTTAATCCAATGGTTAATTTTCTGATTGCCTTCTCTAAGCCATTCCAATGAAAGGGAATGCTAGACAACGCAGTCGGTATGGCCCGTGGCTCTTACATTCTTATTTGGTGAAAGGCACAGGGTAGGACATGTTGGTTGGAAAAGATGGAAGTCAAATATTCCAACCTCCTGCTTGATGTAGAGCAGCCACAGCACTCGGTCAGGTCAGCTCTTGGTTTCACCAGCAGCATCTTCAAGGATTGAGTTTCCACAATCGCTGTGGGTAACCTGCTCTAGTGTTGCACTGCTCTTCTGAAGGAGCACCCACCCTGAAAATATGCACAGCATTTACTGAGAGAATGAAAGGTCAAACAATATTGACTCAAAAGCTATCCAAGGGAAAATTACTGTATATATTAAGATCTGACATGATTTAACTACAATAGATGATCCCAGCTGAATAAGGACTCATTCTGTTTGTGCTTCCATATAAAGCATGCATGCTTTTCTGTCAACTGTCTACAGCTGCTTTGGATTAAATCTATTAATTAACTGGTTTTTATTACCTGGTAAAAGCCCTGAGTTGAGTCTCAGTGCTTTTCTTGGTGAAACAGTACTACAGCCTTAAAGTAGGACCTAGGTCTCTTCTTCAGCTTAGTCATCAGTGGAATAATCTGAGAAAAGCTCTTTAATAATAGGAAAAGATTTCAGAACTGTCAGTAACAGATCCTAATATATTTCATAATTTGCTCTTTCTTGTTTCTTTGGGGTCCAAAAACCTCTGGATGACCTCAGTGATGGAAAAAATACCTGGTAGTTTCTTACAAAGGAAGCTGCTGATTATCCTTTGCGATAGAGAAGTGCGAGAAAATCTGTACACACAAAAGATACTTTGCAGTTACATAGGTCTGCCCAGGAACAAGGCAGAAACAGAAAAATTGGCCCTTTTTTATTTTTGTTGTTTCTTGTGGACAAATAACCATGCATATATGTGAACTGGTCTGTGCACTCCCGGTAAGCATGAGTATCCAGACCTTCCTTTACACCCACTGATCGTCGGCGCAGTGCGTATGTGCCTTACAGGTCTGCCGTTCCCAGGCTCCAGGATCTCCTTGTGCCTCACCTGGATGTCTGTGCCCAGATTCCCCAGGCAAACTGCGCACCAAGAAAGGTTATTTAAAACTGGTTTATTCTAGAAATAGGGAAAAAATGAACTCTGATGGTATAGCGTTACTCTTGCTGCTCAGAAGGCCTTTTTTGCCAATGCAAATAAAATGGACTAGATGATCTTGAAGGTCTTTTCCAACCTAAACGATTCCATGATTCTATGATCCTGACTCCAGAGCGTACTCCCAGGGATGCCATTTAATGCAAACTCTTTAAGCGTCATAGAAGGTGTCCGTAGAGATTTTGCACGTAGATGGGATAGCGTAGAGCAAATGTCAGCCTGAGTTTCTCCCGTGGGAAGCTGTTAACATCTTCAAGTGTCGACCTCGCCTGGGGTGAGCAGTCGCTCCCGTGTGCGTAGTCAGGACAGGTTTGGGAAAGTCCAAAGCGATCGGCCAGCGCTGGAGATGCGGAGCCAAAGTAGAGAACAAGTGATAGTCACCGAGTTAAAATGTGGTAACGGTAGCATCCACACCATCAAGTAGTGGTTTAACCAGCCTATAGCTGAAATTTAAATAAATAAATACCTAAAAATAAAGAGCCATTTCCCCCTGCTCCCCAAGTATTTCAATTTAAGACAGGGAAAGTTTGGCTTTCTGACCTATCTATCACTTCATACCCGTACCATTATTTTTAGGTGGCTCTTTCGTCTTGCTTACCCTCAGAACTGTCGCTGTTACACATAGTCCACCTGGGCACTTCTCTCTAAAATAATTATTTCACAGCAAGTCTGGCAAATAAATTACTTATTTAAACTGTCAGCGTAGCGTTAAATGTCACTTGCAGATGTTGCTGTATGTGTGACTGAGTTCTTGTGCAGAATTAGGTGTTTATACATTGGGTTTTAAGTATGAAAGTTTGTCATAATTTGGAATTTGGACTCTTGGCTGTTTTCACGATCTGAACTATTCCACCTAAGTTGTTTTTGTTAAAATAAGGGTTATTTGCAGCTGCCATTAAGAACCAGTGTTTTAGCCAGTCCTCCTAAATTATTGTATTCTTTCCCTGATAAACAGTTTAGATGGCTAAGTAATAAAGAGCAATCTGGAAGTTAGAGGCTTGTGGCATGAGAACTTTTTTCATCTTATGAATTAGTGATTTTGCTGTAACAGAATTTCCAATGTCCTATTTTTGGATATGGAGATAATGATTTTCTGGTGGGAGTTAGAGAAATCCAAGTGCAGTTTTATCAGAAACTCACTGGACTGGCTTCTTGGTGTAATATTTCTGACTTTCAGTGAGAGGGTTGAAATGTTAGCTGAATGAAACCAAACTGCTTATGCAACTGAGAGACCCGGCTGCAACACTTCTATTACTGTTCCCCCTTTTCTGTACGGGTCTTCTTGTACTTCTCGAAACACACTTTTGTGTTTTTTTCTTTTTAAACTAGGTCCCAGTCCTAAAAAGTACCAATGCCACTCAGGCCTGCATGGAACCGCAGTGGTGTGATGGAGGGGGAGGAGGTCCATGGGGACCGCACTCCGCCCGTGTGTTACACTTTATAGGAGAGAGGAGGGAGAAAAATAATCTTAGTGTTCTTAAGGCTTTCAAGCAGGATCGTGATGTGAACAGTAAATGTCAATAATCTCAGTTACTTTCTTTTCTCTGCACTTGCTGTGTTTGTTTTTCTATAGTAAAATCTTCCTTTAAAATGTTTTTTGGGGGCTGTTTTTGAGAAGTGTCATCTCAGTTCTTGACTAAAAGCAAGAAGTACTAGGAAACAAAATATGAAATCTTAGCTGTGTTATTTTAAACGCTCTCTATGTGAGCTGTTAGAATGGTAGATAGAAGTCATGACCTATCAAATAGCTTGTATTCATCATTTCTTTTCCTTTACAGTCCCAGTGGGTCTTTATTATCCTGCTTGGAGCAGGTGAAGACTTACTTGCTGACTGATGGAACGTGCAAGTGTGGCCTAGAATGTCCTCTTGTTCTTCCCAAGGTAAAGAAAAGCATCATTTTGGATCTCTGCTATAATCCTTATCAGTTATGTCAGCTGATGTGCTATGCCATGGCTTAATCTCTGTTCAGAACATATATATAAAATGAGATAAGTGGCATACACCCAAAGATTCTCCGTAAAATACAAAATGAGTCTCCCTTCTGCCTTCTCCCCTCATGGAAAAGATCTGACTTGGGTTTTATGGTGTTCTAATATTTTCCTATTAAATTGGAAACCTACCATTGACAGCGTCGTGTTAACATGTGAGAATCAGAATGAGACGCTGACTTACATGATAGCTTCAGTATCAGCTTCACAATTTTATCGTCTATACACAAATTGTAAGTTTTCCTCTTAATCACAGAGCAGTCTCAAACACATGCAGTCCTTTTTCCTTTTTTTTTCCCTAGCCTTTAGACTGTGGGGTGTTAAAGTTCTCTTGCTAGATGACAACTTCCATGGCTGTTTACTTATTACAAATATATTCACTATTTATAATTTCCAAACGTACTGTAAAGGTTATCTCTTGGGCAATGTAGGAGCAGCCAGCTACCTCTAAAGAACAGAGGCAGATGTAATTTTCTGTAAAATTTCTGCTTTAGGTATATTTGGTAAGTTTGCTGCCTGTCATGATTATTTCAAATGTTGGGATTTTTACTCTCAGGTCTTTAATTTTGATCCTGGAGCTGCTGTGAAGCAGAGAACTGCTGAAGATGTTAAAGCGGACGAAGATGTCACCAAACTATGCATACATAAAAGGAAAATTATTGCTGTGGCTACACTTCATAAAAGCATGGAAGCACCACATCCTTCACTAGTTCTAACTAGTCCTGGTGGTGGAACAAGTGAGTAAAATGATGCAGAATCATTTAATTACCTAATTTTAAATATATATAATTACTATACAAAAACACCCCCAAAAGTCTTACATATCTGTGAGTGTAAGAGTAAACAGATTAAAGGAAAAATGGAGGTAGTAATTAGAGAGATGTAGGTAGATAGAAACTGAGTCTAAAAAGCAGGTCATCCCAGACTAAGAGCGTGATTTTCTTGGAAAAGATATCAGATTGTTCTAGACAAAGAAAATACTTTAGCTCTCATCTTTTGGAACTGTAGTAATATGTCTGATATTCTGTCACATGGGAAATTAGAGAAGGAGAATAAAGTGATTATAAAGGGATTAGAATGTGGCTAAGGACTTGGCTAAATGGGAAATTGTATTGCAAGGCAGAATATGTAGCAAGAGAAGATCTCCGCTGTAATTTCTCAAGGATTATTTTGGGGGACCAAGCTGGATTAGCATTTTAATTATCCATATCAACAACAAATGAGGTAATTTGTTGACGGATGAAGTTGACAGGTATTATCAAAACAAGAGAAGATCAAAACATCTTGAAAAGCTAGGAGATCATCGAGACCTGGAGTGAAAGAAAAGGTGTAGCAACAAATCCCATTAATTGTAAGGTTATTCACCTGGGGACTAGTGAAAAAAGCTATTAGCTGTAAATTATTGAGAAAGAAGCCCTAGATACAGTAGCTGATGAAAGATGCCTGTGAGCTGTACCAGATGGCAATACGGTGCAGATCAGTGTGGCTCTACGAGAGAGAAGTACAAATGCCGCTGGACGCTTGCTGCCTTCCTGCGCCCCTGTTCTCGCTGGCGGCACTCAAGCTGAACTAGAGCAGAGGATCTTGTCGTAGTGAGCTGCAAAACCTGTTTTATCAAAGTCATCTAAAAGCGTTTAGCTTGTTCAGCCTGGCAAAATGGTGGCTGAAAGGAGATGCGATTGCTGTCCGTAAAGGCATCGGGAGAATCAGCACCGGAAAATAAAGCTACTTAAGCCAAAGGACAAAGCTAGCACTGAAAGAAACAGCTACAAAAGCAGAGTTACATAGAAACTTAAACTGAAAATTAGGTACTTTCTAAGGATTCCAAGAAAAGGTTCTGAAGTAGTCTTACAAATCCAAATGATTAGGACGAAGGAGTGAAGGTTACTTTTAAGGCAGAGCTGGGTAAGTTTATGGTTATGTGCTCTGATGCATGCAACTTCTGGGAAGTGGCCCTTGATAATCTGAGAGATCTTTTGCACCTGTGTTGCTGTAATAATAGCATGTAATGGCTAATTGCTAACCACTCTGTAGCTTGACTTCGAAGTAGATATTAAGAGTATAAAGTAAATAATAAATTTCAGGTACGTAGACTATGCTAAGATACCGGTGCTGTTCATACTACTCATGTGCTCTTGCATTTTCAAATAGGTATTTATGATTTTCAAGCTTTGTTTAAATTGGTTTTTGCAGTGTATTTTTTTTTAAATGAACAGTGCATCTCCCAAATTACTATGCATTTTCCTTATTAATTTTTTGTATTCTTTATTAGTAGTACTTAAATTACATTTCTGTTTTCAAAAAATTAGTAAAGTGAAGGAGGTAAAACCAGCTAAAAATTAAAGACACAAGTCACATTTATGTGGTCTTACCTTCTCTGTTGATCAGAATTTTGTGTGCTAAGCAAAGCAGAAAATTTGCCCATAAATTGCCTTTTCATTTATGCACACTTATATTTGACCATTTGCTTAGGTCCAGCATTCAAGGTGAGGGTTCTTGTACGTATTTCGTTTTGCAGTTCAGTCTTGAGGTTCGTCCCCTAGATGAGACTTTGGTTGTATTTTGGGAAAGGTAATATGTTTGTTTCTGTCATGATGTAGCTGGTTGAGCAAATAGGATGAAGGCAGGATTGTCAGTGCCATCTGTCTCCTATGGCCAGGCTGAAGGAAAGAAGGGAGTTGGGTTCTTGTGAGTAGAGGAATTTAAAGGCACCTCTGAATTCATTTGAACATGAAATCTTTAGCTCATTACTCAAGCTTAAGTTTGCATATTCAGAGGCTGCATGCCAAGAATGCATTCATTTTCCTTTACTGAGCTCGCACTGCAAGCTGAATGACAAATTCCCAGAGCAGCAAAACTGGCAGAAAGTCCGCCAGACTTGGAGCTGCTTGCGATGGTATTCTTAAAGTAAAGCATTGAAAAAAATATTTTTTAAATAAAACTGATATTAATGGGCAGAAAAGGAAAGTGGTCTTGTACTTGTAGGGAAGTCTAGTCTCCAAAGTGGGATTTACAGGATTTTTTTCCATTGTAGAGGGGTTCATATGTGTATATACGCAAATATCCCCAGGGCCTTTATCCTGAAACCAACATATAAGGTAGAGCCCCTTAAATTTAGGATCTTCACCGCAAGCAAAGCTTGTTGAGAAGCTGCAGGAAAAGCCTTAATTCAGTAAAGTAATACAGGACATGATACAATGTTTGTCCTCACCTTTTTAGCAAAGCAGTTCCCAGGAACAGATTAACTCAGAGGAGTGGAACTTGGTGCCCTTGGTGCCAGCGAGTGATGTGGAGCAGCCGGAGAAGCTGCATCCTGCCTTGCACAGCCACGGTCGCTTAGGTCTCTGCAATTAAGTGCTTGGCTGAATAGAAACCTGGGCCAAAGTCGTGTGGCACGGCTCCCCCTTCATCTTCAACAGGGACAGCATTTGGGGCAGGACCCTTTTCTCTGTAGGGCACGGAGAAATTAGTCTAAGCCCTTGTTGGGCTTTGTTCCTCCTGTACTCAATAGATGGTGCCAGAGGCTCCTTTTCCCTGTGACAGTGGTAGCCTGCTCCTCCTGCCAGCTCTTCTAGCGGTAGCCAAAGTGGTGACGCTGAACATTCAGGAGTAGGACACTGGAGATGATGATTAGAAAGAAAAGACAAAAGGGAAGGAGAAAGATTTAAAGTTGTCCACATTTTTGCGGTCTTTATATGGGATACGGAGTTAAGGTCTATACAGCTGCACTATGTAGTAGGGTAGCATGCATCGTTCCAGCACCTACTTGGTGATTCGGGTGTTATTTCTGTCGAGGCAAAAGTTTAGCCAAAAGGCTTTCTAGCTTTTATGAATATTTTCACACACGGTAGTTTTGCACTGAAATGTGTGATATCAGATTTCAAAACAGTAACTGTTGTGTTTTTAATATTAGGTGCAACTCCAGTAGTTCCTACTCGAGCAGCGACTCCAAGATCAATGAGGAATAAATCACATGAAGGAATTACAAATTCTGTGATGCCAGAATGTAAGACTCCTTTCAAGTTGATGATAGGGGCATCTAATGCCATGGGTAGGCTTTATGTGCAAGAAATGGCTGGAAGCCAGCAACAAGAACTTCATTCTGTCTATCCTAGGCAGAGATTGGGTAGTAATGAACTTGGACAGAAGTCTCCGTATCGTGGCAGTCATGGTGGGATGCCCAGTCCAGCTTCATCAGGATCACAGATATACGGAGATGGCTCAATCTCTCCTAGGACTGACCCACTTGGAAGCCCTGATGTTTTCACAAGGAACAATCCCAGTTTTCATGGAGCACCTAACTCTAGTCCTATTCACATGAACAGGACACCTCTCTCTCCACCATCAGTAATGCTACATGGTTCTCCCATACAGTCATCCTGTGCAATGGCTGGAAGGACTAATATACCTCTTTCCCCAACCTTGACCACAAAAAGCCCAGTAATGAAAAAACCCATGTGTAATTTTTCAACTGGTATGGAAATACCACGAGCAATGTTTCACCATAAACCGCCCCAGGGTCCACCCCCACCTCCTCCACCGCCTTCTTGTGCTCTTCAGAAAAAGCCATTAACGTCAGAAAAGGATCCACTTGGCATACTTGACCCTATTCCTAGCAAACCAGTGAATCAGAATCCTGTTATCATTAACCCAACTACTTTCCATTCAAATGTCCACTCTCAGGTACCCGTGATGAATGTAAGCATGCCTCCTGCTGTCGTCCCTTTGCCAAGTAATCTTCCTTTGCCAACTGTAAAACCTGGTCACATGAACCATGGCAGTCATGTTCAAAGAGTTCAGCATTCTGCTTCGACTTCCCTCTCTCCTTCGCCAGTGACATCCCCAGTTCATATGATGGGATCCGGGATTGGAAGGATCGAGGCTTCTCCCCAAAGATCACGTTCTTCTTCCACGTCATCAGATCACGGAAATTTCCTGCTGCCTCCAGTAGGACCACAGTCATCCTGTAGCGGTATTAAAGTTCCTCCCAGGTCCCCACGGTCAACGATAGGGTCACCGAGACCATCTATGCCATCTAGCCCTTCCACCAAGCACGATGGACTTAATCAATACAAGGACATCCCTAACCCATTAATTGCTGGAATGAGTAATGTATTAAATCCTCCAAACAATGCAGTTTTTTCTACTGCATCGGCTGGAAGTGGTTCCTTGAAGAGTCAGCCTGGTTTGCTGGGAATGCCTTTAAATCAGATCTTGAACCAGCACAATGCTGCCTCTTTTCCAGCAAGTAGTTTACTCTCAGCAGCAGCCAAAGCACAGCTAGCAAATCAAAATAAACTTGCTGGTAACAACAGTAACAGCAGTAGCAATTCTGGACCTGTTGCCAGCGGTGGCAACAACGAAGGACATAGCACTTTAAATACCATGTTCCCTCCTGCTGCCAATGTGCTTCTACCAACGACTGAAGGGCAAAGTGGCCGAGCAGCACTGAGAGATAAATTGATGTCTCAGCAAAAAGATCCTCTGAGAAAAAGAAAGCAGCCGACCGCCACGGTGTTGAGTTTGCTGAGACAGTCTCAGTTGGACAGTTCTGGAGTTTCCAAAGCTGGATCTGATTTGATAAGAAAGCAAAGTCAGAGCTCCTTTCCCATCAGTTCTATGTCCCAGCTACTTCAGTCCATGAGTTGTCAAAGCTCTCACATGAGCAGCAATAGTACCACCAGTTGTGGGAGCTCAAATACTGCTCTACCTTGCTCTGGTAACCAGATGCATTTTGCAGACACCAGTATGAACTCTGGCAGTCTCCAGAACTCGCTGGCACAGAGTTTACCCTTGCGAGGGGACGGTGTGCACTGCCAGAACGCAAACACTAACTTTGTCCACGGTACTAGCCCGGGCACAACCAACCATCTTGCAGGTTTAATAAATCAGATGCAGGCTAGCGGGAACTGTGGGATGCTCAGTCAGTCAGGAATGGCTTTAGGAAATTCGTTACATCCGAACCCACCTCAGTCGAGAATCCAGGCATCCTCCACTCCAGTGATACCAAACAGCATTGTTAGCAGCTGTAATCAAACAAGTCCTGAAGCAGGTACGTTTCCTTCTAGAAGGATACCCCTATGTTTGACTGCTTGGAAATATATGATGACTACTTTTAAATGGGTTCCTTTTACGTATCTACTTTTTAAATTTGAGTTTACCAATATACCGATATGAAAAGTCTGCCTATTTCATGCTGGTATTCAGAAACTCAAAAATAAAACAAATGAGGAAAAAAAACAGTGGTAGACTAAAATACATCTCCCTTTTCCTGGACAAAATCATCTTGGCCTCCTTCCTGTGACAATTCTTGCTTTTATTAACTTGCACGCACTCTGCATAAATAAAATCCATGCACTTCTGTACATACCCAGACCTCAGCTTTTGTCACTTGCCCAAATAAATTGAGGGGGTTTTTTGCAGCATGCCCTGCTACTTCAACCCTAGAATGCAATGGCTAACCTGGCAGCATATGTCCAGGCTATACACGTGTTCTTTACTGCTTGCATTAAAGAGTTGGTGTTATCAGAGATTGGAGCACATACTGAGAGTATAAAAGTTTGCAAAATAACCCTTTTCAGGGACAGCACGGGGTAGTGCCAAGTCTGTGTTTGCCTTTATAATGATAATTTTACTAAGCTGGTAATGAAATGGTTTAATAAACTGTATATTCAGTTGGAAGGGTGTAGAGAGATGTCCTGGTTTATTCATCAGTGAAGACTTGGAGAGGAAACAGGTATGCTGCTGTTCCTATCTCCGTGCTGTTTAAAGATAAAAGGGAGACAGCTCACAAGTTTGTATTTCATTTAACTACTACTGGTTGAACAAAGTACTCGTTTTTTGAAAGATGGTGCTGTGTTAATTTCTTAAGCAGAAAGAAAACCTTCCATTTGGTATTTCAGTCTTGCAGCTCGGTTAACTTTCAAAGCGTGCGTTTGATACAGTCATAGCTAAACTACATCAGGTCAAACGAAAGTGACTGTAAGCGTGCAAGCAGGCTCTCATTAACCCAAGAAAGACCCTGATATGTATTCCTGAGCTTCCTCCGAGAGAGCTGTTTATTCTTTAAAATACAGAACAGAATTGTATAAAAACTGAATTGCATAAAAATAATTTTCTAATATTATGCTGGGCACAGTTTCTGATGACTTTTCAGGGTTTCTCTCCATTCCTGGGGAAAAAAAAGGCTTTTTTTTTTTTTTCCCCTTAGCTGTCTTGGTGGTTTGTGTCACAAGCAAGCAGCTATTAATCCTTGCATGGCTGTTTTGCCTTGTCATGCTGACAAAGGGGAGCATTTCCTGATATCGCCTGTCTCTTCTGAGACTTTGTACTCTCTTCCGAACAGAACAAAGGTCTGGTTTTGCCTTAGGAGCTTGCCTCCCTGTCCCGCTAAGCGTGCTACAAAATCCCTTTAGCAGGCACTCTTTGGGTTTCCACCTCTGTTGAGTTCAGTGGGGACCAGTGGTAGGTACGGGCTCTTCTGGATTGTCACTGTCCACACAGCTGAAGGAAGCTGTGAAGTTATTGCGGCACTGGACTACGTTAACTTGCCCTCCAGAGAACAGAAAAGACTGAATGTTATGTGGGGCAAGAGCCCGTGCGCCAGCGGTTCCCGTCAAGAAGCTGAGCAGTAGTAATTCACCCCGTGCGGGGTAAGGGTTGAAAAGGTCAAGATTCCTGCAGGAAATTCAGGCTGGAACCGATTACCAGGCGTTTTACGTAGAAAGTTATCAGTAAGACGTGGCTTAAAGACTATTCAAGTGGGCTTCTAAGAAGGAGAATCCAAGTTCATCCCCATGCGGGATCTTCTTGCTCCTGCTCCGTGGGTACGGTGGTGCTGGACCACGCGGGAAGGCTGCCGTCGGGTCGATGGCACGGCTCGTCGTCATTCCTACGTTAGTTAATCAGAGCCTTTGCTTGCGTTGCCAGTCCTTGTCTTCAGGCAAGCTGAATTTCTTCCCGAGAAGACAAATGTTGATATGAGGGAGAAACGATAGCAGTGTCGGCTGTCGACCTCCTGTGGGACAGCAGCAGGACGAATCTGTGCGCGTGGCAAAGCCCCACCAAGAAAGGTTTCGACATAAACAGCCGATTCGGGTCTCATCGATACAGGAACAGAAATATGTATATAGCCCCACCTGGGAACTTCTGTTCTGCTGTGGTATTTCTACAGAATGGTATTTCTAATACCCTGGAGACAACTGATACAATGATAGGGATATAATTACAGGGCCTTAAACTGGCACTTTTTTCCTTATCTAAATGATAAATGGTAGTTCTGTGTAGGCAAAGACTAGAAAGATTTGAATATGTTCTGTCCCTCGCTACTGAATGGGTTTGTTTCTGTAGTTTTGATGCTTGCAAAATACACACAACCTGCATTTAACTATTTTATGAAATATCCATGATGGCTAGAAGCCGAGAGCGCTTTTCTTCTCTTTAAGATGAAGTTTCAGATTCTGTTATCTGTGTGTTATTCCCAGGGGCAAAGCCCTAAAACGGTGCGTGAACCTTCACCCAGTCATCGCAGCAGCATGGAGCGTACGATTTAAATCTAATCCAGAAAATCCAGACAGGGGCATTTTGTTGTATTTGCAGGAGAATGGAAGCGTTCTTTCCGTGAAACAAGTGTCAAATGTTGAGTATTTTGCATTAATAATAACCTTTAAAAATAAAAGTTAGTCACCAGTCTGCATTCAGTTATGTGGACAGCACAGACGAGGTATATTGTGAATTATTCTGTACGGAGGCAGGGCAGGTTGATAGTTTCGGTGGATGGAACTGAGCAGCATCAAACATGCCGTGTGAACCGCGCTTTCAAGAGTAGTTTAGCTGAGTAAGACGTCTTTGGGAAATTCTTGTGTTCATATTTGAGTTTGTGGCTTTTTTTTTTTATTTTTTGCTTTGTTTTTTAAGTATTTTAATTGCTAAATCTGTTTTCTGTTTCTGTGCCAGCATTCAGAATAGCTACTAATCAGAAAATAGTTCCTGAGAGAAAAAATACTGAGAATCACCACAATTAGATAGCTGGTTATTGCCTAAGCTTTTAATTATATTTTAACCACATGGACCAAGTTTTATTCTAGCTTTTGTTCTTCCACAGATAATAACTTTAGTTTCCAGGTAATTTTCAGTATGAGCATGACGGAATTAAAAATTAATAAATACAAAAATAAAAATTACTGTTTATGCAGTAGAAAGCTTTTGCAGTTTTTCCAAGTTTGAGCCCTTGAAAACCAGTTATGCTCAATTAATTTTTATTAACAATCTCAATCTCTCGGTTCTATAGCATTTGGGTTGCAAACAGTGTTTAATAGCAGGTGTCTTACAGGAAGAGCTAGCAGCAGATCGGTAGAGATTATTTAGGGCTATTCCTTTGAAAAGAGTCCATTTGCTGCCAGGAGACTGGGTTCTAGACTCATTTTTCCAGTTTGCCAGTTTGGCAGCTTTAAGATTTATTCATGAAGCCACTTTGCCTCTCTTTGGATTTGTCTGTTCTTTTCGTAAAATGGGGCTGCGTCACTGTGTGATATATTTTATTGTAGAGTCTGGTTCTTTTTTTTTTTTTTCTTGCTGTTAGAATGTGCCGTTAGTCCAGAAGTTCACAGTGTAGAAAATCTGTGTGTGAACGTTGAACGTTCAACATGCAAACCCTGCTAAGAATGCAACGTGCATAAATGGTGGGATAGATGAAAACAAGTGAAAAATATTGGGGCGTAAAAGCTACATACAGCTGATAAGGGAAATCAAGGGAACTAATATCATAACCATAGCGAATAGAAATAAAGATTATAACTTGTCTCAAATATCAGAACATCAGAAATATGAGAAACTTGAGGTCTAGAAGTTTAGTAGAGACAAATAAAGGGCAGATTTGGCAAACAGAGGCTATATCCCTTCCATAGAACAGTAATTTTTACTGGTGAAATTTACAGAATAGAAAATAGTAAAATATAATTAAATAGGGAGGAGGACACAGGACCAATACCAGTCAGTGAGGAGTTTCTGTCCCACTCAGAGTTTATTTTAATACAACCAGGTACAGTGTAGTATAATTGGGAGTGGAACATTGCCTTGGAAAACAGTGACTCGAAGGGGTTTTGGAGGCTTTGATTTAATAGATGTAATGCAAACTGTTAGATCAGTGATGTTGAAAAAAAAACCCCAAACCCAAAAACCCACAAAAAGAGAAGGTGGGTGGATCCTTGGCAACATAAAAATGGGAATACGCAGGGGAACTGGGGATGCTCCTGGTTCTGTGTATACTTGAGAAAACCAGAGTTGGGATGCGGCGTTCTGGCTAGTGGTCACTGCTCGTGAAAGGACCGGAAGCGCTAGAGATTTCAAAGGAGGGCCACAAAATTGATACGGGTGGTTGCCATCAGACGTCGGGGTGTAAGCCCTGGAGGCAGTGTCTCTGCTCTTTGTCTTACAGAAGGTCCTGAAGTCAGGCCCCCTCGCACAGCGTGAGCGTGTCAGCAGAGCAGGTGCCAGGGAGCTGAGCTGCGTGCGAGGTGTTCCAGCACGTGGGGATGCCCTGCCATCTGCTCTTTCAAAGAAGTAGCCAAGGAATAGTGTCTCTTCCTATAAGTGTAGGCACTTGGGCAGCATCCGAGAAGGCGGAGGGCTGCATCACTTTTACCTTGTCGGCAGACATTTGATGACAACTTCCAGTGGCTGGAAGCTGGTGAATTCGGCATCAAAGAAACGAGTGGTTTCCTTTTTGTGAGAACAGGTTGAAGTACTTGAGCAGAGGATGTGTGGAGTATATGAACAGAAAGAATTAAAGAGATGTCACGACCCAAGCATGCACGGGATCGTTCTGAACGATGGCGGTGGTCGCTTCTGGCCTTAGCATCTACAGGCCTGTCAGCCTGACCTCGGTGCCGGGGAAGAT